ATGAATTCGAGTTGTGTAGTAACTCACCTCGTGTATTTGTGGCTTGTGCAACCACAGAAGTCGGTTCACCTTCACCAACGGACGTCGAAGCTGATACCCAAAATTCGTACATTTGATTCTCTGCCAAGCCACGCGCTTCATATGTCACCGGATAACCATTCTCGTCCACTCGCACCATATGGGCTGAACAGAAATAAATTTGAAATTGAAAATATTTTTAATTTTCCAGCAATAATTTTTGACTTCTGGATGAATAAATGCATTAATTTAAAAAAATTAAAACTAACAAAAACTATTTAACTGTTTTTTTCTTATTATAATTATATTGAGTACTAACAAAGTAACTCCTGCTCATCTTCTGTTTGAGCCGTTAAAGTCAATATAAAACTCGGTTTCATAGTTGAGTTCATAATTTCGAATGAACCGATTTCAGTGGAGTTTACATTGCTGAACATAATCGCATAAGTAACGATTAACTTAAAAACTTTTGTACAAGGACATTAAATTGTAATGGCAAATCGCTGCACTTCCGACGTTTCCGCATAAAAAAACAACAGTAAAAAACGTTAAAACTTTGCGAAGTGCACTACAATAAATACTGAAAGTGTCCTTTTTAACAACGCCAAATTGAAATCGTAAGCAGAAAGTTTTGCCTCTTGATGTATTTCTCAAAAATGTACAAAATAAAAAATTGTATGTAGTCAAACGGTATTGTATAAAAATGTTGTAGACAAAGTTTATTCGTTATATGAAAACCAACGTTTTTATAATAAAATAAAATTTTTATTCCTTAACTCTTCTCCTGAACCCTTCTTCATGCCGTTTTAAGACATTACACTAAGTATGGGAACACAATCATAACGATAAAGGCAACTTACATTTTGCTTGTCCTTTACGACCTGCCTCACGTGAGTAGACGGTGTAGTGGGATATGATGCCATTGCGATTTTTTGGTGGCAGCCATGATATCAAAATCGAATCAGCCGTCAAGGCAGCTGCTTTTATGGACGCTGGTGCATCAGGCACATCGTCCTCTGTCTGACAGTATAATGGTTGACTGGCCATGCCGTCTCCTGTCGCTGTGTATGCCAGCACACGTAACGAGTAGTTTGTGGCTTTATGTAAAGTGTGCAAATAGGTTTCCAGATTGGAGGTACGCTTAACTTCCATTTTAGCAGGAAAATCAACTGAGAGTAAACAAAACAAAATAAAACGAAATAAAATTAAATAGAATTGTTTAATTTAGCAACTAACAACTCGACTTTAAGTAAATGAAGTGATTAGAGCTTAAGAGTTGCTATTAAAACTCAAACGAATAAATGTCTGTACAGCATAAATAAATTTATAATAATAGTACAGTAATAAATGATAAGTATTCACATTCTTAACTAAAGAGAATTTGTTGGTAATTTATCTAAAATCTTTTGGAATTCAATAGCGAGAAAAGTCATAAAAAATCTAAACCGCAGCATAATTCCACGACAAACTTTTCACATTTTTATGGCTGCCTTTCTTCTTTATTCAATGCAAAACATTTTTCTCTATTTAACGCTTAGTGATTTTAAACGCTAATAAAAATATCGCATCTCCATCTAGTATCCAGCATCATAACAATCAGCAACACAGCAAAAACGACTGCAATGCAACTATTCACAACCGCATAAACAACAACATTGACCGACGAACTCCGGAACAGAACAAGTGACTCCGACGGAGGAGCGCACAGAATGCTGATAATAACAGAAATCGAACTAAACCCAATGGTATAGAATATTGACTATGCATACTTTATAGACTGCAGCTATAGGAGCAGTGGCTGCATTGAGTTGCAACCAATGCAACATTAGCAGCACAAACTCTATATATATGTATATGCCATTAGTATGTGTGTTCACGTATTTGCTTGCTTAATTCAAACTCACTTTGATTCACAATTGGACGGTATAAAATTTTATAGCCTTGAATTATGCCACCATGAAATTGCAATGGCGGCTCCAGCCAGGATATCTTCAGACTTTGTGACGATAGTGCCGTACAATTGACATGTTGTGGTGGTGCTTCAGGCACTGCAAGTAGACAAAAATAAAAAAAAAAGAGAAAAATTTAAATTTCTGTATGTCTACGTCTGCGGCATGTTAAGAGTTGGTAATGGCATGAACTGGATTCTTAGCATTCGTAAGCCAGTGCAAAGTGTTGCAATGTGGAGTATGTGCTGCATATCCACATGCTGCACAAATAAGTATACTCTCACTACCCTCTGCCTAATTACGGATATGCAAAAATAAATGTTAACAAGTACTTACCACCCTCAGCTGTTGTACCGAATATGGCAGCACTCCATGGACCCGAGCCGAAACTATTCAAAGCGCGCACAGTTACCGCATATCTGGTGTATTTACGTAGACCACGTAGTGTTGCTTTCGTGGTGGCCCACCCGCTCACAATCACCGACTTCAATGAATTATTGACAACGCTAATGTAGTTCAAGTTTTGTTTCTCCTCGCTGCAGTTTACCGTATAACCAATGAGTTCACCATTCCAAGATTCGCGAGGTGGTATCTAAAATTCCAACAAGAATAAGGGGAAATAAGTTTCACTACTAAAACAGAGTTAAGTTGAAATACAAATATTTGATTGTGTTTACTTAGTTTGGAGTTGTTAAAAGCGCAAAGATCTTTTAAATGCTGATACATAATGAATGCGATAAGTAGCAAACTATGAGTAAAGTAAGGAATCCTTTTATTGTACTTTTTGAAATACAAGAATTAAATATAAACTTTTAATTAAATCAAGGTGAAAACATTTTATTTTTTATTGTACTCTAGAGTAAGTTATTGAATAGCTAATCAAATTTTAGGTAAATATTTATTCATTTGTCTACATATACATAGATAAAATAATTATAGAAAACAAAAAGACAGATAAAAGATTTTATCTTTTATAAAAGATAAAGATAAAAGCTATCTTATTTTTATTCATAAAACGACCATGGAAAAATTAATGACAGATAAAAGATTTTATCTATTATAAAAGGTAAAGATAAAAGATATCTTATTTTAGATTTTATCTACTTAAATTAAAAATCGTGAAAATAATTAATAAATGCTTTATAAAAATCAAAGGATGAATAAAATTATTGTTTTACAGTCAAATAATACAAAGAATCTATTGATTCAAATAATTGTGAATTATAACAAACAACACAATTTTTAATGTTGCCATGCTTGTTTTTGATGCTATTAGGTAGCACTTTTTTGGTGTGTTTAAAATTGTTCGTGAGTTGGTGAAGGACGTAACCAAGACTACAGACACGATGAAGTAGTAGCATTCCTATTAAAGTATGTTATATTCGATGTAATCTTTTATAATGAACGTTTGAGATAAATGCTCACTGTAAACATAATTGATTAATGAGGAGTATATAGACTTATGTCTGTATACAGACTATCTAGTCTTGTGCAGAATGACAAGATGTAATATATTGAGCGCATTTTTGTTATTTAACCTTGTGGAGGTCCTCGGTTTCTGGCTATACCCATTTTGCTTGATTTTTCATATTTTCTGTTGCTAGTTAGCACTTTGATATGTTAATTGATAAATGATACTCAAATTGTCAATTTTAGAGTTCTACATTCATAATGCAGAAAATATAGATAATTATAACACTAGATGGAAGAAATTTATTTATTCCTATATAACTTGAACTTAGTAGGATAATTCATTTAGGCATTTGTAATATTTTATGTTAATACTTTGTAAAGTAATGATTAGGGTTTTTACCCACCTAAATAAAAACAGTTTATTTTATTTTCATAATGATTTGTTTTAATTTCTGATTTCTATAAATCGACAATATTTTAAAAGCGAAATATTCCGAGAAGTCAGATTGTAGTAACAAGAATATATTTTTAAGCAGTTAGTAAAATTTTTATAACCAACAACGAATTTGCCGAGTATACTTCAACCAAACGTACAAATTTTCAATCCCATAACTACATTTACGTGCTTGCACCAACTCTATAAAGCTTTTACTACACTGAGAATAATTTAATGCCAAATATTGCCTGGTCTAAATTATAACAATTATATTAAATTAATTACAGTTCAGTTTATGTTTTTCTTCTATTTATAAGAATGAAATACTAAACTAGATGAGAATTATAATTTAAAATTATGTTATAGTTTTTAATTTCAAATTATATATTCGATATCCATATCTAAATCCTTTATATTAAAATAAATTTTTTTGTTTGTTTGTTATTAAATTTAAAGATTCATAAACAGATTGAGAATTGTAACCACTTTTTTCCAGGTATTCTATCATAAAAAGTTTTCCCTTGCAATCCAACTTTATCAGTATAATGAGACTCTAATGACAATTAAAAAAAAGAAGACAACAAATCGTTCACCATCATTACTTCATTAGAAACTTAGAAATGTAGGTGACAATCTACATTTTAGTCAGATGGTACTAAAATTCTACATTACCGTATATATGTAGCAGGATGTATCAGAAATTTTAAAAGTAATACCAAGTTGGGAGTTTTGCAATTAATAACCTTTATTTTAAGCATCTTCATTTCTTGCTACTCTATAATGTCTATTTTTTTAATAGACATAAAGAACATTTAATGTTTTTGAATGTTTTTCATTTCAGCAATCCATCTTTTTCTTGATAATTCAATTTTATATATTTACTCGATCTAACAGTTGTATATTTGTAATGAATCGCTTATTGCGTAACTTTGATTTTTTTTAATTTATAAATAAATATATTTGTCTGCAACTGGCTTAAATATGCTCCGAAATATATGGAATCAGAGGTTAATAGCTGGATATGATCTCTTGCCATTAGTTTAATGACGTTTTCGATTGGTAAATGTGGCGTAATTTTTTCAATCGAGATGTTTTTTTAATGTACTTTTAGTGCAATTTGATTTTTGATTGAAATCTGGGGCAAAAACATTAGAGATTAATTTATAACATTCTAGCTAATTTGCTAGAAATAAGATAACTCTTATTAAAATTAGTAACATTACTGATTTTAACAACTTGTTTCGTATAATTTGACAATGTAATTTGAATCGATATATGTATTTATAAAAAATGTAATTGTCACTAACACGACTAAGAAATGTTTGAATGGACAACAAAATTTGACTGCTCGAGAGTATATCAAGATTGAATCCTGATTTACCAATCAAGAAACCCATAAGAATGGACAATTTTGATGTAAAAAAATCTTATTTGCTTATTACTCATTATTAGACGTCATCCATTAACCTGGATATCTAATTATCGTTTTTCTTCTTTGTGTTTTTTATGATTAAACAGGACTTTCAAAATTGCTGACCTGTCCTTTTTTCAACGCCATTTTATTTTTATGATACTATGGCTTTTTATTCGCACATCTTTCTTAGAACAAAATTGACTTGTGAATGCCGATTTAATCTGATTCCAAAATCGAGATTAATTTTTTCCAACATCATCTGATTTGATATAGATTTGGCGAATGAGAATTGATACAGTAGGATTTAAAATTTTTTATATGGCAGTGTTTTAACAAATATTTGCATTTTTATTTGTGTCTGGACAAGCCAACTCAAAATACTTGAATCAACTTTGTTAAATTATTTAAATCAAATTTGTTGTTTTGAAATATCCATTTTAACTTTAAATTAGGAGCAAATAAGACTTATTTTTTAAACCAGTATAAATTTATTTATAAGATACGTAAGTCAAAAAATTATTAACACTTCTAGGCCTACATTTTCAGTCCTACCTATTTACTTCATATAACTTTTCTTCTTCTTTTCCGCATATACCCACCACCAATTTTAATGGTATTTTGACTCAAAAAAATATTAGAATCAAAAAATATTAAGCAAAATACTTTCACCTGTAGTTTCAACATTTATGAAATGGAATGTGTATAAAATCAATTTTATACAGACTGCTCTATACCATAGATTTTAAGCCTTATAAACAAGAATTAAATTTACTAAAAAAGTGCCAATTAAAAACTTCCCTAAAATTTCCAAAAAAAAATATTTTTTTATAAACCAAGATTGTTTTAAAATATATTTTAAAAACTTTTTAATTTAGTTGTGGAACTTACCTGCCATGTGACAATTAAATCACTCTCTCCGCCAGTTTGAACTTGTACATTAGATGGCGCCTCAGTGGGTGCCTCTTCTTGAGTTTTTAGTACGATTGGATCAGTGAATGGACTGCGTTCAATTTCGTTGATGGCTTGCATGCGTATGAGAAATGTAGTGGCCGGAGTCAAACCGGACACAATTGCACTTTCACGTAAATCGCTATCATAACTAAATGAATGTAAGATAAATAAAACACGAAAGCAGAAAAGGACGAAAGTTTGTTTTACAATTTTGACATTTTATAATAAATAAATTTTTGGAAACTTTCTACAAACATTTGCTTAAATTTTAAAATAATATTTTTGCATTTATTGCATACCTTTTACTTATGCTTGTTGACGGCAGACTAACGTTGATTATGTTCGGTCCACTCCAGTCGCCGCCAACTATGCCCAGAGCTGCATGCGACTGCAAATACTTCAGCGGTTGATATTGCACCAAATAACTTAGCACAGGCGAGTTGCCATCAAATGGCCGACGCCATGATAGCTTCACTGTACGTGAACCCACTTCAAATACTTCAAGATTGGATGGTGTGTCCGGACGTTCTTGTACTGCAAGAAATATAATTTGCTCCTCGCGTCCATAGGGATTTTCAGCAATGCACTTGTATACGCCCGAATCATGACGATCCGAACGCGCAATTGTCAACTGCGAGTCGACGCCCTTTTCCGTTTTCATTTCCGCTATGCTAAAACGGAAATTATTCAGGTCAATGCGTCCATTGTTGTGCGTCCAAGCTATTGTAATGGGCTCGTCGCCTTTAGCTTGACAATTTAGCGTGACGGGGTCATTGCGACGAGAGGAGACATTGCGTGATGGTTGCTCGAAACGTGCCGGTTCTACGCAAAACAAATAATATTTTAAGGCAAAATGTTAAAATAAATGGACGAAATTTTTTACATCGCATGTTACATGTTGCATATTGCATGTAACATTTATATGCCGTCAATGGCCATAAAATTTATTCACTTACCATTAACATTAATGCGTATGATTTTTTTAAGTCCAGCGCCAATATTATTCGTGGCTTCGCATTTATAGTAACCCTCATCTATGTCAGTGGCAAGATTTAGCACCAGTGAATGATTGCGCATATTTAAAGTCTTAAATTCCTTGGAGGATTTGCCTGTAGGGAAAAGTAAATTAATTAATGTTCCGTATTACAGCATTTGCAATGCGCAAATTTTTTTATTCCGCTTCCTTTTGGTCATTATCCTTCAATATAATCAAACTAATTGTTAAACTTTAGCAGCATTTGAAACCATTTTTTACAGACTCAATCCCCTTCAATCCCCTTCAAACTCACCAATCTCATTAATATGCTGGCATTACTGAGATTAACATGTATTTTTTACTTTATTTTCATTTAAGCTTGCCAACTTTGCTAAGGCCAATTCAAAACATTCAATTTTAATGAACTCACATTTAAGGATTAAACTTTTATTCCTTTTCGCTGCTAAGCTAAATTTTTTATTACTCTTCTTTGAACATATTAATGTAACAAAATCGCCAAAATGGAAGCGTATAAACTAAAACTCACCCTGTCCCTTGTACCAGGTAATCGCCGGAATCGGATATCCTTCCGCTTCACAATTTATCGATATTGCATTGCCAAGCATGACGGCTGTATCCATGGGTTCGTAGGACCAGCGTGGGGCAACTACATGTTTAAACGTTGCCATGAACCAAAGATACAAAATAAAAGAGTAAACAACAAAATTAACAAGATGTTCAACAGCGAAGATGCAGAATGCACAGCAGAAAAATATATATAAAATAAATGAAAAAAAAATATTTACTACTTTGCAAGATTATTTTGCAAAAAATCCAGCGTGATTTACAACAGATACAAGCTACATACGTTTGTGCGCATTTTATATACAAACATACATAGATACATATATGTATATATATATATGTTGTACATTGTATATTTATATCAAATAAGTTAAAATGGTGCATCGTCTTGAGCACTGCCAGTGTGTCTACATGCTATTGCAGTGAGGCTTGTGTCATTGTGTATCTTTTGTCAGAGTTGCAATTTATATTAAAGCTTGTGTACCATTCATGCAACTTGTGTGGAGCTTACCTCTAACTTGCAACTCTGCGGTGAAATTCACCTTAGCCGCTGCATTGCTCGCATAGCACGTATATTTACCGCTGTGCTTAGCGCTAATATCCTTAAATACCAACAACGAGTAGAATTCCTCTTTTTTCTCTGTTATCTATAAGAAAAGAGTAGCATATAAAAATTTATTTTTATATATATTTTAGGAGTGTGTTTATTTATAAAGTAAAAGGAGCTTAGGATATGCTAAACCATACGCAAAATATATTTGACAGTATATGCCAAGTATGTTTAAATTAAAAAATAAGTATATTGGTTTGGCGACCAACTTAAGCTGATTGTGAAAGTTTCTCTATCTTTTCAATTTCGAACTTACCTGCAAACTAGTTGGTATTGCCATATCATCTTTTTTCCAACTAAAATAAATTGGCATATCACCCGAAGATACAGCACAAGTGATTTGTGCACGTCCACCCTCTTGAAGATTTTTAGGAAATTTAAATGGCTCAATAACCGGTGGACCTGTAATGTATAAAATTTATATTTCATTTGGTTTTAGAAAGTATATAAGCAGAAGATTAATTTGACAGAGAAGAAAACTGTATCAATTTGTAATGAGCAGAGATTCACTGAAACTATATTTAAGCTCTCTAATGACTTAGCACTTGCTGAAACTAACTAGGGTCTCTAATGAATTAAACTAAACCAATTTCAGTGTTACATTATAGTTTTTATACATACTGAAAAAATTTTCTTGACTTAATTGCGAATTATCTAAGCTCTTATAAGGTTTCCTTTGAAGAATGTGAACAAGATTAACCCAATGCTTTTCCATGAATTTCTATTAAAACTTAAAGCTTAACTTTCAAATATAATTTCATATTTAAGATGTCTAAATTTTTCAATTTTGTTAACTCTATAACTCCACTACTGTTCTGTACTGTACTGGATCATATGACGAATAAATAATCAGTTCTTCAACACTTATGGTGAACTTTAGTCTCTACTAAACAACTTTTTAAAATCTTGAGGTTTTTGATTTAATACACAATCAGCATGAATTTATTGACATTTTTAATAAACACTAGACTATGAATACTTGCAATAGCATCTCTTCCAATTAAATCGTATATTTTTCGATTGGATCTATGTAGACAAAAACAATGTACTGCAACTGTAACTTAGCTGTATGATTACAATTTTTGTGACGTGAATTGAATTTGACGTACATGTTAATATAAAAGAACCTATCAACCAGGTTACAAAATCTTAACATTTTGCAATTTCGAATCAACTTTATTATGGAGTGTTAATAAATGTAGCAGTCTTAAGCTTTATCTGAGTAAATAAATTTTTATATAATTCAAAACCAAAACCAAAAAAAGTATATTCTGTTCAAATTCTTTCTAGACGAATAAAATCCAATACAAAAACCGAATACATGCACAGAGAAAAGAAAAATATCTCATAAAGGCTACAGTAATATGATTCATTTTCACTTAACACACACATTATACATTATATTTCTGAAATATTATGACAAGAGTTGACTTCCATATGACACTGCGGTAACTAGCAATTTTCTCTTTCAATGTTCGATTTTCATCTTAATCAAATCTTTCTTTCCAATACCGCAAGCTACTCCACAATACTTACTATTCACATTGAGCTGCATGTCACGACGAGCTTCTTCCCCGGCACGACTACGT